GGAGCCTGGGATGAGCCTGGTCTGTAGGGGTAGGAGGCTGGGTCCACGGTGAGCTCTGGGATGAGTCTGATCCCCAATGGCTGCCCTCCCACCTTGTTGTTCATTCGCCCGTGCCAGCCATACATATTTTACTAAACACCAAAATTGGAACTTGGACACAATGCCAAAATAATCTTTACTTCAGGTGTGTTGGGAAGAACCTCTAGTAGCGCTTGAAAACCTAAACGTGATCAGATGCTTGTCTTGACATAATCACAAAAACAAGCGGCATCAGCTTAAAGTCCCACTCGGCACGCACAAGTGAGTTAAGTTGTACGCCGCACCAAAGTGTAGTTTAGTGCTGTAACTGTCGGTCAGTGGCAAACACGATATGCCTCTCACCTTTTGCTTCTATGTCACGATGAGAGAAGTCTTCAGGCATGACGTTTTCATCCAACTTAAAGCAATAAAAGCACCATTACACATTTATGTAAAGTATAAAGCATGACTCCTAGGTCTTAATGGGATTGTAAAACGCGAGAACTGCAGGACGGAGCTTGTTAAACTGAGTGGCCGCAGCCCTGCAGGCCCAAGGGCCCATAATTCCGACCAAGACCGCAGGTTTTTGTCCAATCTTTATGAACCGTCATGAATGCAAACACAAATATGTATTATTTTCAATTTGGTGCATATACTGAGCAGAACAACATCGATGGAACAGCCCGCAAAATGATGGAACAGTCGGTGTCAACTGAGATGCGACTGGCAGCCACGCATTGCCTGCATCAGCGCAATGCACGTGCTCTGCACGCGCTACCTGTGTCCTTGCACCGTGCGCTGCCCGCAGTACCCGTCTTGTGAGGAACAATAATGCTTCGTACAGACAAACAATCTTCATTTTTACAGCGGTCCTTCGTAGCCTAGTGGGTGAAATTTCAAGTTAGAGCTGAAGGCTTCGTTGGTTCGAAACCAAAGCATCGCCACTTTTATATTGGAAGCTTTCAATAATGAGATATTTTACGATCAGTCATAGCAAGACCAGTTGTCTGAATCATAAATACGAAACATTGCAAAACCTCATATCAGGGAATAATAACGACCATTTCAAAACCCAGGTTATGAAATGATCGAAATTTAATCTGTTATGAGGTTTCGAAACGTGTTCTTCGTCCCGTGTCTGGTGCAAAGTGTTGGCAGAGGTCTACCCAGAGTTCTAGAAGGAACCACTTTACTGCAGAAAACCATAGGTTTATAAAGTTATTTTAGTTAAAAGTATATTTAAATACTTACTTACTGTATCTACACAACCATAACATATTTGCCTCAAAGTCCATGACCTAGGGTTCCTTCTGACGAAGCCCCCGTACGGCTACCGAGGCTTGCGTGGTTCTGTCGACCCTCAGGTTTGGTCAGAGCTGATGCGCTTCTGTTGTGCTTCTTCTACAAAGCTGGCGCCCGACAATAAACTTTTCAACGTCACGAATTTGTTCTTTACAATACATTAGCCTGGGCGTATAAACTGTATGGATTATTTTACAAAATCTTGTTCAGAACCGTTGACTGAAGTAAGTGGCTACTGTCCAGCAGTCAATGGGAGTATATACAAGTGATTCTGGCCAAGTTTGCTGAGTCTTGCACATTCTTCACATGATTTGTGGTTCTGGTACCCACGGTGTACATCCACACCGTCTACCAGGACTTCAATTCACTGCAGTGCCATAGTCCGCAAACTGGTTCACACATTGTTCAAAAGCACTGAGCCACACATCGTCAATGTCCTCTAGTCTCACCAGTGGCAAAAGAGGAAGCAATTCTCACAAACTTGGCTATTTCTGGGTCAGTCACAAACCCTCATCTGCAAGCCACATTTCCAAACATTTCTCCAGATAGCCTGTCTGAAGTGGAATAAACAGCCTTCAGTTGACACCGAAACACGTCTTGATGGCGTTCTGGGCTGCAGGCTCAGAGTCTGTAAAAAACAATTGCAGTCTAAAGATTGATATTCAGCTCTGATGACTTCTCTTAATAATGCTGAAGAATCTATGGTAGGTGGCCTACTTTGTCTGAAGAAGTCCATAAATCAGGAGGAGCCATCTTGTTGTTGGACTACATGGACGTAGAGCTGATGGTGACTTTCCAATGATAGTGACTAAGCATTTTCCTGCATAATATATAGCTGCAAACAAGATGAATTTTATTCAGTGACATTAATTGAATATGGATAATTGGTGAGTTGATATCAGTCTGGATAGTCTGTCAGCTTGAATCTGTCCCTACGAGTTAAGTTCGCCAACCAGCGGACGACCCTTCCCCTAAAACAACATCACTAATCCTAATCCTCTGCAGGCTGCCTGCACAGTGAGGATAATCTTGTAGATATTGTCCTGCTTGTTCCTTCCTCACCTGTAGAAAATATAACAATTACACTACTCAATTACAGGCCACTAATACAATACCAATTACAGGCCGATTAATACAATACTCAATTACAGGCCGATTAATACAATATCACCAAAGCCGATTAATACAATACTCACCAGCCGATTACTACCACCTTACCACAGGTCGATTAATACAATACTCACCACAGGCCGATTAATACAATACTCCACCAGCAGCCGATTAATACAATACTCAATTACAGGCCGATTAATACAATGCTCAATTAAAGGCTTATTTAACAAACCACTCAATTACTGTGGACTGTCAAATTAATAAAAACACAGGATAACACCCACTCACCTGGATTGCTGTTAACTGGTCAGGTTTGGGTGGATGACAGTGACGGTGTTTTCCCTCTTCAAAGGAAGCTCCAAACTGATCACTGATGTGGGACACGTGGTAGGTTCCGACACTGCAGCGCCAGTGGTTCTAGCAGTTGTTGATTTCGTAACAAAAATTATTATCATTAATCGTGATGACACCTCCTCGGTGGTGTTGCTAACTTAATGGTTTCTTCAACTTCAGATGCACCGGTGGTACATTGATCCACAGCACCCCATTGCTGGTCATAAGACCGAATTGGGTAACCTGTTTGCCGGTGGTTGCGCCCCTGTGTCTTGGAGGACGGAGTCTGGTGGTTGAGGGCACTGGGAGCCTGGAACTGTGTTCCACGGCTCAACACACCTCTTCGGCCCCAACTTCACCAGACGGGTGGTTGAATTGCCGATTCTATCAGTTGGTCACGCCAAGCCCTGTACAGTGACTATATTTTAACACCGCATTATCATTGGGTCTTGGTTATTTTGATAAAATTGAGTATACTTTTTTCAAATTAATTTAAATTCGCTCTAGAGTCCTGTGCCAATCTGTAGTGGTTTTAGACCCTGAAATCTGTGAGCTCAGCCGAAGGTAAGCAACACATCTCTTAAAGTGAACAAACGCATCTTTGCACTCAATATTTAACACATAAGACATCCAAAGAAGTACCAATGTTTGAATGTGTTGTTGTTGCAATCTGTTTGTGTTTGAAATGCTTGTTGCAAGAGATCTTAGTCTAACAGACACGAGTGGAGAATAAGAATTGACAAGTCTGGGTCCATGGTCAACTGCCTTCATAGCTCAGTGATAGAGCACTGGTCTTGTTAACCAGGGTCGTGGAGTTCGATCCTCACTGGAGGCTCATTTTTCTTTGTACAGATTTCTATCACCCAGGTGTCAGGATGCCAATAGTTACCTGGACGGTGAATGTCCTCAGAGGCAAATCAGCCACCCAGCAGACATTTCAGTTACATCAACATGAGAGAATTATAGGCTTGAAAGGAAATTCTTCATCTTTGAGAGGTAAAGTAGAGAATAAGATAAAACACCCGGAGTCGCGATTGACCTCAATTTATGTTTATATCTTGAACTGTCTCCTTGTTTTCAATTCAGTTTAATATGTAGAATAACCCAACTTTCCATATCAGAATGTATTTGATCATGCTTGAAAGTGTGCTGAGTAATTTGCAGTGAAAATGTTCAGCTGTTTATCAGCTGCCCTGGTGGCACAATCGGTTAGCGCGCCGTACTTATAGTCGGTACCTTCCCATGATCACCATGGGATGAGGGAGTGGTTGTTGGGCGCCTGAGTTTCACCCGGGCATGCACTTCACTTTGCTTCACTCTTCTGACATTTTCAATAAAACTCCTCACTCCCATTTCCCACCTCCAGCGTCAATGTGAAGGGAGTGTATGGCAGGTAAAAAATACACTTTGTAACCGCAACCGACACATTTTGATATATCTGAAATTTAGAATAATCCCATGTGAATGGTGCTTGCCAACAGATCAAATCCCTGACTGCAATCACCGCCCCGGGGCCGTAAAGCCGTTAAAAACCGTGGCAAATCAAGCAAACGGTTATCAGATGCCTCCATAGCTCAGTGGTGAGAGCACTGGTCTTGTAAACCAGGGGTCGTGAGTTCGATCCTCACTGGGGCTAGATATCTTTATCGGAGTTTTAACCTTTTTGTAGTTGAGCTGATTAACCCTCTTCATGAGGCACCATGGAGAGTTCCAGTAAGCAGACTCCTAGCTCAGTGCTTAGGGTGCTGGTCTCCTGCTAATTAGGGTCGTGGACATCCATGATCAATTGGGGGCTATCATATAGGTCCATTTAAAACATGCTAGATTTTTTTCTTCATTCAAGTGAACTCAGTCTGAATTTTGAGGCCAACTATTCGTCACATCGATCGCAGCCACAGTGACCAATGATAGTGGTATTCGGGACAAATTCATGCATGAATTCAAGGTCCCTTTGTTACCCAAGCGCAAGTATCCTTTAAGGTCTCAAATCCACACCCAAGCCTTTAAATGCTCAACTTCGGTCAGCTGAAGGTATCAACACATACCTTTAAAGTGAACAAAATGCATCTTTTGCACTCAATATTTAACATAAGACATCCAAAGAAATACCACTGTTTGAATGTGTTGTTGCAACCTGTTTCCAGTTTTGAATTTGTTGTTAAAAAGAGATCTTTAGTCTAACAGACACGAGTGGGAGCCATGAGAATTGATAAGTTCGGGTCCATGCATTAACTGCCTTCATAGCTCAGTGGATAGAGCACTGGTCTTGTTAACCAGGGGTCGTGAGTTCGATCCTCACTGGAGCTCTGGCCTTCTTTTGTACAGATTTCTATCACTCCATGGTGTCATGGATGCCATTGTGTTACTTCTGGACGGTGAATGTCCCCTCAGAGGCAAATCAGCCACCCAGCAGACATTTCAGTTACATCAACATGAGAGAATTATAGGTTGAAAGGAAACCCCTTCATCTTTGAGAGGTAAAGTAGAGAATAAGATAAAACTACCCGAGTCGCGATTGACCTAATTCTATGCCTTATCTTGAACTGTCTCTTGTTTTCAATTCAGCTTAATATGTAGAATGTCCCACCCTTTCCATATCAGAATCGTATTTGACTGTTTGAAGCTGTAGCTGAGTAATTTGCAGTGAAAAATGTTCAGCTGTTTCATCAGCTGTCCCGTGGCAATAACCGGTTAGCGCGCCGTACTTATAGTCAGTACCTTCCCATGATCACCATGGGATGAGGGAATGCGGAGGTTGTGAGTTCGAGCTCTTCACCTCCGGGGCATGCATCATTTGTTTACTTTTCTGACATTTTCAATAAACTCCCTCACTCCCATTTCACCTCCAGCGTCATGAAAGGGAGTGTATGGTGGCAAAATACATCTTGTAAATCGCAACCCGACACATTTTGATATATCTGAAATTTAGAATATCCCATGTGAATGGTGTTTTACACAGACAAACCCGACTGCACCGACTGCCCTGGGCTCATGAGCTGTTAAAACCGGTGGCAAATTGGCAACGGTTATCAGGATGCCCCATAGCTCAGTGGGTGAGAGCACTGGTCTTGTAAACCAGGGGTCGTGAGTTCGATCCTCACTTCGGGGCTAGATATCTTTTATCGGAGCTCGGAAATCCCTTTGTAGTTGAGCTGATTAACCCTCTTCATGAGGCACCATGGGAGAAGTCCTGTGCAAGCAGACTCTCTAGCTCAGTGCTTAGGGCGCTGGTCTCCTACAATTAGGTGTCGTGACATCCATGATCAATTGGGGCTATCATATAGGTCCATTTAAAACACATGCTAGATTTTTTCTTCATCTGCGAACTCAGTCTGAATTTTGAGGCCAACTATTCTGTCACATGATCGGAAAATCAGCCGCAGTGACCACGACAGTGGCATTCGGGACAAATTCATGCATGAATTCAAGGTCCCCTTTGTTACCCAAGCGCAAGTATCCCTTAAGAAGTCTGGAAATCCACACCCAAGCCTTTAAATGCCGGACTCCGGTCTTCAGCCGAAGTTGCACAATAACATATCTCTAAAGTGAAACAAACAGCCTCTTTGCACTCAATATTTTTCGAACATGTATCAATCCAAAGAAATACCACTGTTTGAAACGTGCTGTTGCAATCTGTTTGTGTTTCTTGAATCTTGTAAGTTGCAAGAGATCTTAGTCTAACAGACACGAGTGAGAATAAGAATTGATAAGTTCGGGTCCATGGCTAACTGCCTTCATAGCTCAGTGGATAGAGCACTGGTCCTTGGTTAACCACAGGTCGTGAGTTCGGGATCCTCTACCGGAGGCTCATTTTCTTGTACAGATTTCATCACCCAGGTGTCAGGGATGCCATTGTGTTACCCGGACGGTGAATGTCCCCTAGAGGCAACTCAGCTCCACCCAGCAGACATTTCAGTTACATCAACATGAGAGAATGAGCTTCTGGAGCGAAATTCTTCATCTTTTGAGAGGTAAAGTGGTAGAGAATAAGATAAAACTACCCGAGTCGCGGATTGACCTTAATTTATGTTTATCTTGAACTGTCTCTTGTTTCAATTCAGTTTAATATGTAGAATGTCCCAATTTTCCATATCAGAATGTATTTGACTGCTTCGAAGCGTAGCTGAGTAATTTGCAGTGAAAATGTTCAGCTGTTTATCAGCTGCCGTCCTGGCACAATCGGTTAGCGCCGTACTTATAGTTGGCACCTTCCCCATGATCACCATGGGATGAGGGAATGCGGAGGTTGTGAGTTCGAGTTCACCTCCGCATGCACTACTGGCTGCCTTACTGGACATTTTCAATAAACCCTCACTCCCATTTCACCTCCAGCGTCATGAAAGGGAGTGTATGGCAGGTAAAAAAATACATCTTGAAATCGCAACCGACACATTCTTTGATATATCTGAAATTCTAGAATATCCCACGTGAATGGTGTTTACACAGACACAACCTGATTCGCAATCGGACCGCCCTTGGGCCTACAGGCTGCCAAAACCGTGGCAAATTGGCAAATGGCTACCAGATGCCCCATAGCCTCAGTGGTGATACCACTGGTCCTGTAAACTAGGGGTCGAGTCTGATCCTCACTGGGGCCAGATATCTTTATCGGAGTTTCTAACCTTTTGCAGTTGAGCTGATAAACCCTCTTCATGAGGCAATCATGGAGAAGTCCCTGCGTAAGCAGACTCCTAGCTCAAAGTGCTTAGGGTGCTGGTCTCCCTAATTAGGGGTCGGTCCATCAATGAGATCAACTGGGGCCATCATAGGTCCATTTAAAACATGCTAGACATTTTCTCTCATTCAAGTGAACTCAGTCTGAATCTTTGAGGCCAACTATTCGTCACGCTGATCGGGAAACAGCTGTGCGACCAACGACAGTGGCATTCGGGACAAAATCTCAGCGCATGAATTCAAGGTCCCCTTTATACCCAAGCGCAAGTATCCTTTGCTGGTCTGAAATCCACAACTCCAAGCCTCTTTAAATGCCTGACCTCGGCTTCAGCCGAACTTGCACAACACATAATCTTAAAAGTGAACAAAATGTATCTTTTGCACTCAATATTTAACATAAGACATCCAAAGAAATACCACTGTCATGAAATGTGTTGTTGCAATCTGTTTTGTAGGTTTGAATTTGTTGTTGCAAGAGATCTTTAGTCTACAGGAGACTAGTGAGTATCAAGAATTGATAAGTTCGGGTCCATGGCTAACCGCCTTCAGCTTCCCAGTGGGATAGAGCACTGGTCTTGTTAACCAGGGGTTGTGAGTTCGATCCTCTCACTGGAGGCTCATTTTTCTTGCACAGATTTCTATCACCCAGGTGTCAGGATGCCATTGTGTTACCTGGACGGTGAATGTCCCTCAGAGGCAAATCAGCCACCCAGCAGACATTTCCTTCAGTTACATCAACATGAGAGAATTATAGGCTTGAAAGGAAATTCTTCATCTTTGGAGAGGTAAGTAGAGAATAAGATAAACTACCCGAGTCGCGATTGACCTAATTTATAGTTTATCTTGAACTGTCTCTTTGTTTTCAATTCAGCTTAATATGTAGAATGTCCCAATTTTCCATATCAGAATGTATTTGACTGCTTGAAGCGTAGCTGAGTAATTTGCAGTGAAAATGTTCAGTTGTTTATCAGGCTGCCCCGGTGGCACACCATGCCGGTTAGCGCGTCGTACTTATAGGCCGTACCTTTCCCATGATCACCATGGGATGAGAATGGAGGTTGTGAGTTCGAGCCTCCACCGGGCATGCATCATTTTGTTTACTTTTCTGACATTCTTCACAAAAAACCTCACTCCCATTTCACCTCCAGCGTCATGAAAGGAGTGTATGGCAGGTAAAACATATCTTGTAAATCGCAACTGACAACATTTTATTATATCCTGAAATTCTGTGAATATCCCATGTGAATGGTGTTTACATTACATCAGTCTCTGACTGCAATCGATCGCCCTGCCTACAGCTGTTAAAACCGTGGCATAGCCATAACGGTTATCAGATGCCTCCATAGCTCAGTGGTGAGAGCACTGGTCTTGTAAAACCAGGGGTCGCAGTCTGATCCTCACTGGGGCTAGGATATCTTTTTATCGGAGTTTTAACCTTTTTGTAGTTGAGCTGATTAACCCTCTTCATGAGGCACCATGGAGAAGTCCTGTGCAAGCAGACTCCTAGCTCAGTGCTTAGGGTGCTGGTCTCCACACTAGGGGTCGTGACATCCATGATCAATTGGGGCCATCATATAGGTCCCATTTAAAACATGCTAGGATTTTTTCTTCATTCAAGTGAACTCGCAGCCCGAAATTTGAGGCCAACTATGGTCACATGATCGGAAACAGCTGTGTGACCACGACAGTGGCATTCGGGACAAATTCATGCATGAATCCGCTGGGTCCCTTTGCTGCCCAAGCGCAAGTGGTCCTTTTAAGGTCTGGAAATCCACACCCAAGCCTTTAAATGCCTGACCTCGGCTCAGCCGAAGTTGCACAACACATATTCAAAAGTGAACAAAATGTATCTTTCGCACTCGGTCATTTAATATAAGACATCCAAAGGTCACCACCATTGTTTGAAGGTGTTGTTGCAATCTGTTCGTGCCTGAATTTGCTGCCGCAAGAGATCTTAGTCTAACAGACACCAGTGATATCAAGAATTGATAAGTTCGTCCATGGCTAACTGCCTTCATAGCTCAGTGGATAGAGTACTGGGTCTTGTTAAAGCTAACCAGGGGTCGTGGAGTTCGATCCCTCACTGGCAGGCTCATTTTCTTTGTATTGATTTCTATCAATTCAGGTGTCAGGATGCCATTGTGTTACCCGGACGGTGAACGTCCCCCAGAGGCAAAATCAGCCACCCAGTGTATATTTCCCAGTTACATCAAATACAGAGAAATTTATAGGGCTTGAAAGGAAATTCTTCTTCATATCTTTTGAGAAGTGTAAAGTATAAGATAAACTGATTCCGAGTCAGTGATTGACCTAATTTATGTTTATCTTGAACCGTCTCCCTTTGTTTTCAATTCAGTTTAATCATGTAGAATAGTCCCAATTTTCCATATCAGAATGTATTTGACTGCCTTTCAGCGTAGCTGAGTAATTTGCAGTGAAAAATGTTCAGCTGTTTATCAGCCATCCCGGGTGGCAATAACCGGTTAGCGCGCCGTACTTATAGTCAGTACCTTCCCATGATCACCATGGACAGGAATGCGACGCTGCAGTTCGGAGCCCTCACCCGGGCATGCATCATTTTGTTTACTTTCTGACATTTTCACAAAACCACCCCATTTCACCCTCCAGCGTCGCGAAA